ATAAATTCAACTCAGTTCTCTATATACTTTAGAAATAAGGCCGTTATCAGAGACACTGGCTGTAAAATTTGTTTCCCAGCTTTCTGCTTCCCTTCCAATCTTGGTTGCATTGGCTTTGTTTATGCAAGTCTTTTGGATTTCTTTTCCTCTGTTACAAAGGAATGCTGAATGGGTGGATATGTATGGAAAATGACTGATTTAAAAATAAAAGCCAACTAATGGTGAGAAATCATTTCTTTATTATTTCAATTTGCTAATCTCACAATCTGTGATAAGATGAAGCCTTTAAAACATTTGCATGTTAGCACCTTCTATGGATTATTGTGGGGAAAGATAAGACTAGACTCAAACTATTCCCCTCTGCAATGTGCCCTAGCTGAGCTATATAGATTAACCAGACATTGCTTTAGCCCATGGTGCTGAGAGAGACCTACATGCCAGGATGTTCTAGAACCAGTTCCAACCTGCCTGAGAAAGTTGATTGTTACATTTTCAGTGTGAGTATTTATACTTAGAAGTTGGCAAATACTACATCAGTTATCATTTTATTGCTAATCTAGACTTAAGAAAATTATGGAAAATATTAATAATGTAGATTATACTTAAAAGTGCTCTGACTCTGATTCCTTTTTTGGGAGGGGGGAAGAGCCATTTGGTAAACATTTACCAGCACACTACTGTCTATATTGGTCCCCGGTATAGTCACAACCCTGTCAAGGTCTGGGAATGAGCTTGGAAGACCAGAGTGAGGACTCCAGAGAGTAAGATGGTTGTCAGTTGTCCAGAGACTGCTGCCTTATTACCAGAAGCTGGAGAGGAAAGAATATAGGAACAACGGTGAGTTCAACTTGGAAGCCTGACCCCATTCTCCCCCCTCCCATTGTTGCTGGAAGATTAAAAGTCAGGGTCTGCTCTTTTCTTCCTCTCCTCATCCCTGACCTCCTCTTATCAGAGGGTACCACAGATAGGGATATACTGCAGGACATTCTGGACTGAGCACAGGTTCACAGGGTCTATAGCCTCAGTGGAACCTCTTCTGTTTTGGTGTGGATTATATGTAATCTTTTTTTTGTCTTTGGTGAGGCAATCGGGGTTAAGTGACTTGCCCAGGGTCACACAGCTAGTAAATGTCAAGTGTCTGAGGCTGGATTTGAACTCAGATCCCCCTGACTCCAAGGTCAGAGCTTTATCCACTGCGCCATCTAGCTGCCCTGATTATATGTAATCTTAGTAGCTTCCTGAGTAGAGAACATATCTCCAAGTCTGCTCAAATTGGATAGAGTGGGGTGGGGATAGGTGTTCCTGGGGGTGTTGGGACAGGATTCCTGCAGGCCCCATAGATGGAGCCCAGAGAGGGATGGAGAAGAGGAGACAGATTCCTTACCAGGACCCTGTAGTAAATTAATCATGTTCTCTCTTTGAAACAGAAATAAATACTTTCATTTCTTAGAGCTGGGCTTTAGACAGCCCTAAGCTCAGCTCAGCCCAGCACTTGTAACTGGCTCCATCATACCTTTAGGAAGGACCTAATCAAACAAGGTTTGCCCAGGCCCCTTCCTCCATGCTCTAAGTCCCAGTTCTCCCAATATCTCAGTCCCATCCCAGTCCATTCTGCATTGCTCATTCGGCAGAACTGGGCATGCATCTTCTATTCCTGAAAATTGCTGGTGGCCTATCACCTTCAACCCCCCTCTACCTCTTTGAAAGAGTCTCCAGAGAGGATAAAGGCAGACATGAAGTGCATGAGAATACTAGAATCTAAGGTATAGGTTTATTTTCAGAGCTGGAAGGGACCTCAAAAATGATCTAATTCAACTCTCTTGTTTTGCAGATGAGGAAATAGAGACCCAGGGAAATGAGGCAGTAGCTTGCCCAAAGCCACACATGCAGTAAGTAGCATAGCCAGGATCTGAACACAGGTCCTTTGACTCCTAATGCAGTGCCCTTTCCCTTAGACCGCACTGCCTCTAGGCCATCCAGCTCACATGGTTCACCATATGTAATCTATCTTATCTATAGGACCACAGAGGCTTAGAGTTGGAAAGGACTGCAGGGGCTATTGAGTCCAGCCCCTACCTAAAAATCCTCTCAGCAACATCCTCTAAGAGTGGTCAGTTATCCTCCATTTAACACCTAGAGTCATGGGAAACCAATTGCCTCCTGAGGAAGTCTATTTGATTGTGGGATATGACTAAATGTTGCCTCCAGTCTTTGCCTTTCCAGGCTAGATCTTGCCCATGCCTTCTAGACAGAGAGGGTCTGTGTTCTTCTAAAGCTATCCCTAGGAATGGAGGCTGCTCAATCTCCCTTGGTTATTTGTACTCAAGTCCAAAGGAACATCTTCCTGGAGCAGCATCACTGCTGGGCTCCAGGAGTGACTGGTTCTGGGAACAGGTAGCAGAAGTTCCCAATTTCTCAGTACTCAGAGACTATGCCTATTGGGACTCTCTCACCCTAGTCTAGGGTGCTGCAGTACCAAGAGCGCTGGATTTGGAGCCCAGAGGTCCTAGATTTCAATCCTGGCTCTTCTAATTACCACCTGTGTATACTTGGGCAAGTATTTATTTTTTTCCAAGGGCATCAGTGGAAATGGAAGGGTTGGAAGGGATCCCAGTGACTATCCAGTTCAACCCATCAGTGACTCTCTAGTTTAACCACTGGACACATAACTAGTAAGAGCAGAACTTAGAACCCAATTCTCTTTGATCCAAGAACAACCTTGTAGGAAATGCCAGCCCAACTATTATGACCTCAAATTTGATCTCTCTAGAGCCCAATCCAAGCCTTGCCTTTTGCCAGACCCCAGCTCACCTTCCAAGTAGGCGCAGTTAAATTTGCTAAATGTTCTTTTGCTTTTCAGCTCAACATTTTTAAAGCCTTCAGAATCTGAGAACCTAGAGACATTGAACATCTCATATGGGGGGATCAGCACCTCCTTTTCACTTGGATAAGCCGATAAGTGTTCAATGGGAGCCCCTTCACAGGTGTGCACCTTGTAAAGAGTCCCTGAGCCATTTATGAATTCTGTGGCCACACGTCGTTTCAGAGAGGTTGAAGCAAATTGACCAAAGCGCATCTCTCCTGTCCCATCGGGGTACTGCTTCACAGAGATGCCCCTGTAAACATCTTTACAGGATCTTTTCAGGATTTGAACAGCTCTGGTTAGATAGAAATGGAGAGCTTTGAAATGGAAGTTGTTCATATAAGCCTCCCGGGATGCACAGCATTTTTTCACTGCTTGATTAAAGGTTGGGTAGATCTTTTTTTTCTCCATTGTGTAGGCAATGACAGCAACTTCAAATAGCATTTTCATTCTTTTCTTTTCGGTAGACATATTTTCCCATTTAATTTCTGCGTTTTCCCAAACTTCATTGAAATTTGGGTTCATTGCCCTTTCTTGAGCTAAGAGCTCTTTTGCCCTCATCTCCATAGTCTCTTCACAGCCCACATATTGGTCATCAAAAGCATTGTATTCAAGGCTAATGACATTTTCTGGCAATTCAACTTTTTCCTGGAAAGGAAAAAGGAACCTCAATTGCATTTAGAATATCATGACTCTCTACATATTTTTAGCATTTCAACATCAACAGTTGCTGATGGAGAAAGTAATAAGAGACACGAACTACCCGGTAATGAAAGTGAATGTGGACCTAGACAGCCTCTTTTTTTTTTTTTTTTTTGTTAAGATTTGGTTTCCCTATCTTACCTAGTCTGGAAGTGCAATGGGAGTTGTTTCCACTGCTGGATTGGCACTGATGTTTTAGCAGCCTGGTGCTACCTGCTCCCCCAACACTCTTCCCCCCCATTCTCTTTCCCATGGGCTCACATATTGGTGCTAGACTTATTTTGGACACTTCATTGGCTTCAGTCCTACTGCAGCTCAGAACTCTGGCACTCAAGTGATCCACCAATCTCAGCCTCCCCAGTAGCAGGGATTATAGGCATCCACCACTATTCCTGGTTTCTCATAGTCTTTGGAAAACATTGGAAAGCCATGAAGAGAGGCTGATGAAAGGGCTAGATCCACCAGAGGGAACTGCTCTGAAGCTGTCAGTAGACTAATGTCAAAAGTTTTTGTTAATCTTTTGCAAAGCGTTTGTTAAGTATATGGGTCACCTGGTATCCCAACAAAATGTGAGCCTTGACTAAGAGAATGTAGAAGAATTTCTGAGTCGGCTGGGTCCATTCAGTCTTCAAGATTCAAAGACTTTATAGAGAATTTGGTGGTTGTTATTACAAGTTTGTTAGCAACTATCTTGCTATTACTTAACAGTCATTAAGTAACGTGGTTAAGTGGTTAAGAATGACCACACTCATGCATGTATCACTGAGGAGATTCTGAAATTAAAGGGTAAGGAATGAAAAATTGTCTTAAAAACCAACTATCCAGGTAATTTGTGTGTGTCTTGTATTTACTCATCTCCCAACCTCCTGCCACCCAGAAGAATGGGAGCACCTTGAGAACATCAGTTATTTTCCATTTTATCTTTGCAACATACATTCCAGCCAAACTTGAGGGGTTGTCTGGTAGTGGAAGAGAGGGAGTCCAAATGACTTGGATTCAGCTCCCAGATCTGCCTATGAGGCTATGTGAAAGGCTTGGACTACATGGCCTCCCCTGGTCCTGTCCAGCTTTAAATCTATAATCTAATTATCCTAGCTGACTTGCTCATCCCACTTAACAACATTCCTTTCTGACCTTCATGTTTTTTTTTTTTAATTTCATTAAGAAGAGAAACCAGAAGACCACAGGTTCCCCACCCCTGCCCAAAGATATAGGCACCCATGTGGGAGATGCTAGGAACCCACTTTTGGGAGCGGACATCCTATGGTGGTCTGCACAGGGTAGGGAGCAGCCACTTTCTATTGGCTGTGTAATCATAACTGTCTGTCTTTAAATCCCCCTAAGGGAGGCACAGTCATACTTTCTTTCTGGTGGTGTCCTGGGGTGAAGGTATTGATCATCTATAGCATAGTCACCATGTAGTAATTAGGAAAGGGACTGAGGGCACCTTCCTCTCTCTGTAGGTCTTGTGCCCCACATTGGGCTTGGTATTTTGTTTTGGTTTTGTTTGCCCTTTTCAGTTTGAAGTAAAGGGAGTGAAGTTCTGGACATGGGAGCTTGATTTATGGGGACATTGGATCCCAGAAATCCAATCCGGATGTTGCCACCAGGCCAGAAGGGAAGTCCTGAGAAGCCAGGGTCCTGGGACACAAGTTTGGGAGCTGGAGTGAGACTTGAAACTTGGTGGGACTAATGCTACTCAGGAAATGAGTTAAGCTCTGTGCTCCTACTCCCTGTCCCCTCCCAAGAGACCAAAGCGATGGTGGTAGGATTATGTTTGTTCCTGCTCTACCTTTGAAGGAAATATGCTTTTGAAAAAGTTAATCTGATGTTAAGTGGTTAAGTGAAACTGGGGTTCTTGGACCCCTAAAATTTGGGGAACATAATCAGTGGGGTCTTGAGTTAATGGCAGGGATGAAAGACCTCTCTCCTCAATACTTTTAAAGGTACCAGAGAACCTTGGGGGAAGGGTTGGAGATGTCACATACTTGGCCTTCAGACAGAGGGGATCAGAGTAGTCACTGTTATGCTTGATTAGACAGGACTCATTGCAAAGACTGGGCAGCTAGGTGGTGCGGTAGATAGAATGCTGGCCCTGGAGTCAGGAGGACCTGAGTTCAAATCTGGCCTTGGACACTTTCCTAGCCGTGTGACCCTGGGCAAATCTCTTAATCCTATTTGCCTCAATTTCCTTATCTATAAAATGGGCTGGAGAAGGAAATGGCAAACCACTTTAGTATCTTTGCCAAGAAAATCCCAAATGGGGTCATGAAGAGTTGGACATGACTAAATCAACAAAACTGCAAAGACTTGAGTCCTGGAACTCCCATGCTTCCATTGGTCACTTGTGTTATTATCCAATCACTCTCAGTGCTTTGAATTCTTCTTTCTCTCTTGTTTCAGTGAATCCCATAACCTGTGATTTTTTTTTTCTAGTAGATTAAGGCCTTTGAGAGAATCCACTTTCATTTTTTTGACTTTTCATCCAGATGCCTAGCATAGCGCCTGGTACTTAATAGGTGCTTAATAAGTGCCTGTAAATTGGTTTATACCAGTCACCATCCTTGGAATAGGAAGAGTCACTCAGACCCTTGAAGAAAGCTACATAGTAGGTACTTGCTCCATTTTGTTCCTTTCCCCATTAATCTTGGCATTTCCAGACGGATGAACCCTAGTTTCTTTGCCCTTTTCCTCATGGGTGTTCTCTTCCATTTTTTTATATTCATACCCTGGCTTCTTCGTGGTTGAACCCTAGGATCACGCTATTTTGTTTCCATGGGCTGGAAAGGAGGCATAGTGTATGTGGGTAGCATGAACCACTCACTCCAGACGTAATTAGCTGAAACATCAGGGTAGTTACAATGGAGATGACCCTTGTGTACTTCATATGGGCGTTTGGTTCCTGTTCAGGATCCTTCTTGCCAGATGTTTCCTCTTCTATCTGGATCTCACCTTTGAAATTGAGAAAGAGAAATTGAAAAAGTAGCTGCTTGTTTGTCCTTCTAGTATCAAATACAAACATCTCTGACATTTAAAGTGCTTCTCTACCTGACTCCAACCTATCTTTCTGCTGATTTCTTATGACTCTGTCTCATATGCTTTACCTTCCAGACAAAAAGACTTACTTGACATTGTGTCTTTGCACAAGCTATGTCTCATACTTGAAGTGAACTTCACTTCTTGAAATACTGCTTTGTATGTACTTCCTATATCGTTGTTAGCTTTATTTCTCTCCTACTCCATGAATATAGCTATGTTCACGGAGGGACAGGGACTGTATAGGTTAGCACAGGTGTCCTAGCTTATGAGAGTCAGCCCTCTGTGGATGCACAGATATGCCTTACCTAGTTTCAGTTCAAGCAACTACGTAGAAACCTAACTCTGCACTAGCCACACCTTCCTCCTTTCCTCAATTTGACCCTTTGGTAAACTACTAAAGTTCTACACTGTCTTCTTCTCTTGATTATCTTGTCTCAATTATGTTCTGCCAAGCTTTAACCTTGGATGACTCCCAGCTTTACCTTGTCTTCTCTCCTACACACTTGCTGCTGGATAAAAGTGAAGAAAATCATACAGCCATTCTGGTTGGGTCTACTACAACTTTATGTTATAGAGCCTCAACTAGGCCTTCACTGCTGCTGGACAATGCTACCATACCGCCCTTATCAACTTACTATCCCACTCTCTACAGTGGTTCTTTCTAAACCTTTTCATCCTTCCTCAAATCTCCCAAGGCTCCCCCTTCCTCCACCCTCATATCAGAACTTTGCCACATATTTTACAGAAAAAAAATTGAGGCCATTTGCTGTGAACACCCTCTTTTCCTCTCTTCCTCATCTCCTATCACTCAGATGCCTTCTGCTACTTCTCCTTCACCCCTGTCTCAAATAAAGAAGTGGTCCTTCTTGCCAAGGCAAACAAACCCCTGTGCAAGTGATCCCATTCCATTCTGTCCCCTCCTGCAGATTGCCCCCTCTATCATCCCTACTCTCTCACTTATCTTCAATCTGTCACTGTGTACTGGCTCCTCTTCTGCCTACAAACATGCCTGTCTCTCCCATCCTCAAAAACCCCTCACTTGATCTTTCGATCCCTACTAGCTCTTATCCCATATCTCTCTTTCATTTTGTGGCTAAATGTCTTGGGAATGTATCGCCACTTCCTCTTGTAGAATTATTATGTTTATATTTATCTATATATGTGTAATGAATATGCTAACAATTTGGAATTCTCAAGAATTGCCTTTTCCAGATGAGTCAGAGCTCATAATGCAGATTAAAATGATCAGACTTTGACAAGGCTCACAGTCACTCACATCTTTCTTCTTATGTACCTGAAGTGAAGCTAATCAAAGACTGTAGAAACTGTTCCTGTGACCCACCGAGTAACGACCCCCAAAGACTTGAACGATGGTGTTCTCACAGAACTTCAGGACACCTGTACTTTAGTATTGTGAGAGTTTTGGGCTGGTTGTGGGAAACCACTCTGGACCTGGGAACAATTGCTTGTAATCCACCGTCCTCTCTCCCTTCCCACTTATGATTTATGTATATAATCTCTGTCTTTACTTCAGCAAGGTGGAATTCTGATCAGAAGAATTCCTAATTTGCAAATCTGTTCCTCATAATGAAACTAATTAATTAAATGGCTACCTGATTACTGGCACTTTGTCTCTGGCCTGATGTTTCATCATTCTCAGGTTAGAGACTGGCTCAGTAAAATCCTGTTAACACTGTCTTCCCACTCTTTTGAACTCTCTACAATCTAGCTTCCAAACTCATTACTCAACTGAAACTGCTCTCTTCAAAGTTACCTATGGTTTCTTAATTGCCAAATCCAACAGTCTTTTCTTAACCCTCATGCTCTTTAACCTCTCTTTGTTCTTTGACACTGCTGATCACTCTCTCCTCCTTGATACTCTCTTCTCCCTAGGTTTTTGGGACATCACTTCCTTTGTAATACCTCTTGAACACATGCCCTTCTCTTCTTTGAAATTGCCACCACTCTAGTGCAGGCCCTCATCACCTCATGCCTAGACTATTGCTATATCATGCTGGTGGGTCTGTCTGCCTTAAGTCTCTCCACACTCCAATTCATCCTCCATTTAGCAACCAAAGAGATTTTCCTAAAGTGAAGGTCTGAATGTGTCACTTTCCTACTCAATAAACCTGACTGTTTCCCTATTGCCTCCAGGATCAAATACAAAGAACCTCTGTTTGATATTCAGAGCCCTTCATAACCTAGCCCCCTTCTACTTTTCTAGTCTTCTTACACCTTACTCCCCACCTAGCCTCTTGGCTGTTCTGTGGACAAAATACTCCAACTCTCAGTTCTAGGCATTTTTTTTTCTAGCTGTCTCCTAAGCCTGAAATGCTCTTCCTCCTTAACTCTGCCTATTTGCTTCCCAACTAAAATTCCGCTTCTACAAGAAACCTTTTCCAACCCCTCTTAAATCTATCACCTTCCCTCTGTTGATTATCTTAGATTTATCCTGTAAATGTCTTGTTTGCATGTAATTGTTTTCATATTGTCTCCCCCATTAGATTGAGAGCTCTTTTAGGTCTAGGACTGTCTATTGCATTTCTTTGTATCCCCACCATTAACACAGTGCTTAGGCACATAGTAGGTGCTTAATAAATACTTATTGACTGACTGAATAAAAACAAACAACAAGAGAGGATAAGAAGTAATTAATTTTTAAGGTAAACTTCAAGGAAAAGCCTACAGAAAGACTGGAAATAAAAAAGAGTAAACAAATAAAAAGAGATAACCACAGAATGAATACATTCTGCAGAATGAAAGTGAGTTGAAATAAAAAAAAGATAGCCCAAGGCTGAGGGTGGTGGTCTTCAAGTAAATCACATAATCTAAGTCACATCCCACCCTCATTAGAATAGACCCACCTCTGCTTATAATATTCATTCTCTCATTACTTGCTAAAGAGTCATAGTTGATTGCTACCCTCAGGAACACCCACCCTTCCAAGGGCATATAAGCATTGAGTGGGTTCTGGCATTTGAGAGTGGCATTGACTCATTTTATTATCTGCTTGCATGATTAATAAAATGATGAATTACCTAGAAACTATGTCTCTCAAACTTTTTATACACCACATAATTGTGTCAGATCCTTTGTGACACCATTTGGGATTTTCTTGGCAAAGATACCTAAGTGGTTTTCCTTTTCCTTCTCTAGCTCATTTAATTCTCTGCTATTTGAAAAACAGGAAGCTGAAACTCAACTTTTATGTTCTTGACTTCACACCTAGGAATGAGATTCCCAGACTAGAGCTTTTATTTGTCCTTCATAATGTTACTTTAATATTTATTTTTAATGAAGTAAAAGCCTCATCAAAGGGTATCACAGTTGTTATGTGCAAACCTTGTGCCTTAATAGCAGCAATATTCTCTATAGAGCCACTATATACCAAGAAGGTATGATTTGACTATCAATAAAACTGAATGCACAAACCATTAAGGCGCCTTATGCTAGGCTCTTAACATGTATTAAGTCCCAGAAAGATCATTTTGATTCCTTTTATTTGGGTTGAATTTTAGGTTTTTCTCTTTTGGGGTTGGATAAATTTTGCCATGATCTTATTTTAATACATTTAAGTAATGCTTTTACTAATGTAGTAAGTGAAAAGTAAATTGCAAAGGAAGCTTTCTTAGCTAGATAAGTAAGTATAGTACTTTGGATTGTTCATAAAGGATATTATATCCCTAAGTTTTCAGAGCAAAGTTATCTAATATGGAGTTACTTATTGACAACTTGGCAAAAATTCTTAGAAATTAGCTACTGCAAAAGCTATACCTAATAATTTTCCATAATGGTCTTAAAAGAAAGATACCACTTAATTGATAAGGGCTTTACATGTCAAATTGGGTTTTATATTTGATCGTGGTGGTGATTGGGTGTCACTGGAGTTTGTTGAGAGGGAGTGGGGTGACATGTTCAGGCCTATGATATAGGATTTCACTTAGAAAAGTGAAATTTAAGAAAGTAAACAGGTTAAATACCAATAAAAAAACTAAGTAGTTAAATCATTGTTTACATGCTTCTAGGTCTAGGCAAGATAATTATCAAGAACTCTCACTTAATCTGATGGCTATTTAGAGAACAAGTAGAGAACATTTAAGGACAACTTTTCACAAGCATGATCAAATAAATGTAACTTAGAGGAGGGAAAGAGAAGAGCTGAGGGCAATTCAATTCATATTTCTTAAAATAGAATATCACAGATGAAGCACATCCAAGCAATGGAGTAGGGAGATGGGTTTCTCCATTAGAATGTAAGCTCCTTGAGGGCTTGTATTTATATCCCTAGCACTTAGCACAGAGTCTGGTACATAGTAAGTGATTAACAAATGCTTGTTGCCTGCCTCCCTGGAGGAGGAAGCATTATTCAGAAACACATGATAACTGGAATGGGCAAAATTAATGAACAAGCACTTCTTTTTTAAAAACTTCACTTTATCTGAGACTATGAGGTCATTCAAGGAGAGACCACTGAAATGATGATAGTATTATTGTAGAAAAGAGTTTCTTAACCTGGGGTCCTGAACTTGTTTTAAAAAAATTTTTTATGACTTATTTCAATATAATTGGTTTCCTTTGTAATCATGTGTTTTATTTTATCCACTTAAAAACATTTTTTTCTAGAATCCATTTCACAAAAGAGGTTAAGAGTCTTTTTTTGTAGTAACTGGAGTGGGGAGTAGGTAGAATTCGATGGATTTCATAGATAGAAAGTAAAGGAATGCTCTCTATATTTTCTTTGGTCCTAAATACTTTCCTTCTCCATCAATCTGACAGATAAACTGTTACATGCTTTCCTAATTTGCTTATGGTATCACCCTTTATGTGTAAATCATGTGCCCATTTTGACTTTATGTTGGTATATGGTACGAGATGTTGATCTATACCTAGTTTCTGCCATATTGTTTTCCAGTTTTTCCAGCAGTTTTTGTCAGATAATGAGTTTTTGTTCCAAAAGCTTGGATCTTCAGGTTTATCAAGGTAGTTTATTATAATGTAATTTATTAATTTTTAACTTGAAAATTAAATTTTTAAAATTAATAATTAATTTAAAAATTAATTTATTCTCCTGATACACCACTCTATTTCTTAGCCAGTACCAGATTGTTTTTGATAATTATTGCTTTAAAATACAGTTTGAGATCTGGTATGCCTAGACCACCTTCCTTCATATTTTTTTCGTTGATTCCCTTGATATCCCTGACTTTCTGTTCTTCCAGATTTATTTTGTTATTATTTTTCTAGCTCTATAAAATAATTAAAAAAAACTTTTTTAGGCAATTGGAGTTAAGAGACTTGCACAGGGTCACACAGCTAATAAGTGTCAAGTGTTTGGTCTGAGGCCAGATTTGAACTCAGACCCTCCTGACTTCAGGGCCAGTGTTCTATCCACTGAGCCACCTAGCTGCCCCCTATAAAATAATTTTTGATAGCTTAATTGGTAAATGTCTAGAATGGAAAGTGTCTGGAATAGCCATCTCATTTCTTAGATGAGGACTTTGGGAACAGTGGTAGGTTACAAGGTGGGTAACTTAGCCTGGATTCTGAAACTCCAAATTCAGCATCCTCTCTACTATACCCCATTCTTTATCCATCAGTTAACATGATTGAAATTGGTCTTATATATGAAGTTCTTTTAAATGAGAAGAAAAGGAAGAATTGACACTGGAGGAGATCTGGAGACATATCCCTGCCTCACTTGGACAAGGGTGGAGAGAGGGAATTTTTTCTAATCTTGTTCAATGGTCAATCAGATTTTGTATTTGTGGAAGAGACATTTTGAGGGATTTCCATCATTGTTCCTCCTAGGGGGAACTCTTCTCTGAAGATAGTAATGTATTAAAAATAATCAGTTTGCCAAAATTACATTTACATCAGAAATGTAAGGATAGTTTAACTTTCAGAAAGCAAGATAATGAATCACATAAATCAACAAAACAACAAAAACATATATTGATAGATGCAGAAAAGATCTAGAGAGAGGGAGGGACTATTTGGCAAAAACTGATAGGAAAACTGGGTAGTAGTCTGGTAGAAATTAGATTTACACCAACACATTTAATTGTACACCAATATAAGTTTCAAATGGATACATAATGTAGATATTAAGATAAAATCATAAACAAATTAGAGAAACAAGGAAGAAATTGCCTTTCACATCTATAGATAGAACAAGAGTTGATAACTAAACAATCAATAAAGAGGATCAGAGAAGATTAAATAGACAATCTTGATTACATAAATTTTAAAATTATTTTTAATTTTTTAATTTATGCACAAACCAATCCAATATAGACGTGATTAGGAAGGAAGCAGGTGAGTGAAAAAAAATCTAAGTAGAAAGTTTCTCTAATAAAGGTCTCACATCCAAGATCTAAAAGGAATTGTTTCAAAGCATCAAACAAGAATGACTTCAAAAGACTGATAAAATACACCTCTCACCTCTTGACTGAAATGTATTAGACTTGAGATGCAGAATGAGATCTACATTCTCAGACATGGCCAATTTTTAATTTGTTTTGCTGGACAATAAACACTTGTTGCAACAGATGATTTCTACTTGGGTAAGGTGGGGTGGAGTTAGTAGGATAATGAGTTAGTGGGTAGGAATAAATATCAAAAGAAGCATCAGTAAAACTTGTTTAAAAAAATGTGCAGAAAACAACAAAAAAATGGAGACAAAAAATAGAACAGCTAAGTTACTACCTTGTTCTTTTGTTTAATGTATATATATATACACACATATATATTTATATATTTGTAAAAGCAAGTTGTGTATGAAAGAAGTTTATAGTTTCTTATAGAAGACTTTGTCTTTTTTATATTGCAATGTTTTCTTTGTTAATTATTAAGTCCAGAATAAAAAAGGAAATTAAATAACGTAACAGGAATGGAGGGTGCCTGTTGTATTACAAAGCAGTAGTTATTAAAAGTACCAGTTTAAAGAAATGGAAAAGTTGATTGGTGAGTTAGTCAAAGTGAGCAAAACCTACAAGAAAAGGAATATAGCTCTCTCTCTTTATTGAGAAACAAGAAGAGAGACTCCTCAGTGATGGACTTTTTTTTTTTGAGAAAAGCTGCTGGGAACCATGGAAGGCAGTTTGGTAGGAATCAATGATCAATATCTTATAACATCTACCACAATAAATTTCAAAGGTATTAGCAATCTAAGTATGGAGTGAACCAAAAGACTTTTGGGAAACCCTGTATAAAAGGTCATGTTATTAAGAAAATTAAGGGAAAATGGAGCATCATTTCTTTCACAACAGATTTTCAGCTAAAAAGCAATGACTAGTGTTGCCTCTACACTTCTGAGGCTAAAACATACTTCTTCATTTCTATTAAGCAAAAAAAATAAGCACATGTCACTTATGCTACCAAAGGAAAAGACTATTTATATTCTATGGTTTTGCTTACCTGTTTTCTATGGAAAGGTCCTCTAGTGCTCTTGTACATTGGAAAGTGATTGAGGTGTCACAAAGAAATGAATCAGTTTTAAAAAAGGAGTAAGAGGAAAAGGAGTTTAGAGGTGCCCTGTATCCCACTCTGAGTGAGGAGATAGGCAGGCTTTGCTTCCTTTTAACTGAAACTAAACATCTGCTTTTAGTTTCAGAATTAATGTGGGTGAGATTAGGAGATCTTTAAGAAATAAAGGAACTATTTGAATTTCAGAATCAGTAGAAAGAAGGAAAAGGTTCCCTTTTTATTTCACTTCCTTGTTCCTAGTTCAGATTTGTCTTCCACACTTAATAGATTTTGACCATCTACCTGTGCAGAAAATTCTTGACCTTCTGTCCTGGACTCACACATTATCACTTCTGCACCCCTTGGTTCCTTGGACATTTGTGATCATTTAACATGGAAACATGAATCCTCTCCAGACCATGATCTCTTCTCTAGTTCTCCCCTACTCTTTTTTTTTCTATCTTTTATTTATTTATTTTTCTTTTTATTTTTAACATGCATTTTTAAAACTTTGGGTTACCAATTTTATCCCTTCTTTCCTCCCCACCCACCCTCATTGAAAAGGCAAGCATCTTGATACAGATTATAGATGTGTAGTATGCAAAACACTTTCATAGCAGTCCTGTTGTGAAAAACTAAGTATGTTTCCCTTCATCCTATCCTACCCCCCATTTATTCTATTCTCTTTTTTGACCCTGTCCCTCCTCAGAAGTGTTTGCTTTTGATTATCCCCTCCCTTAATCTGCCCTCCCCTCTATCAACCCCCTGCTCTCTTGTCCCCTTCCCCCCTTATTTTCCTGTAGGGTAAGATAGATTTCCATACCCTATTGTGTATGTTATTCCCTCCTTAAGCCAAATCCTAAGAGAACAAGATTCATTCATTCCCTCTCACCTTCCCCCATTTCCCCTCCACTGTAAAAGCCTTTTCTTGTCTGTTTCATGTGAGATATTTTACCTCCTTCTACTTTTCCCTTTCTCCTTCTCCCAGTATAATCCTCTCTCACCCCTTAATTTTATTTTCCAGATATCACCCCTTCATCTTCAACTCACCCTGTGCCCTCTATCTATCTAGCTATACATACATATAATTTTTTCCCTCCAACTACCCTAATACTGACAAAGGACTCATGAGTTACAAATATCATCTTTCCCTGTAGGAATGTAAACAATTCAACCTTAATAAGTCTCTTATGATTTCTCTTTCCTGTTTACCTCTTCCATGTTTCACTTGAGTCTTGTATTTGAAGGTCAAATTGTCTATTCAGCTCTAGTCTTTTCCACAGGAATGCTTGAAAGTCCCCTATTTCATTGAATGACCATTTTTTACCCTGCAGGATTATACTCAGTTTTGATGGGTAGGCAATTCTAGGTTGTAGTCCTATCTCCTTTGCCCTCTGGAATATCACACTCCATGCCCTCCAGACCCTTAATGTAGAAGCTGCTAAATCTTGGGTTATCCTGATTGTGTTTCTGCAATACTTGACTTGTTTCCTTCTGGCTGCTTGCAATATCTTCTCCTTGACCTGGGAATTCTGGAATTTGGCTACAACATTCCTAAGAGTTTTCCTTTGGGGATCTCTTTGAGGAGGGGATCGGTGGATTCTTTCAATTTCTATTTTGCCCTCTGGTTCTAAAATATCAGGGCAGTTTTCCTGGATAGTTTCTTGAAAGATGATGTCTAGGCTCCTTTTTTGATCATGGCTTTCAGATAGTCCGGTAATTTTTAAGTTCTCTCTCCTGGATCTATTTTCCAGGTCAGTTGTTTTCCCAATGAGGTATTTCACATTCTCTTCTATTTTTTCATTCCTTTGGATTAGTGTTACAGTACGTTGATTTCTCAAATTGTCACTAGCTTCCAATTTCTCCATTCTAATTTTTAAAGAAGTATTTTCTTCAGTAAGCTTTTGGACTTCCTTTTTAATTTGGCCAATTTTACTTTTTAGGGCATTCTTCTCCTCATTGACTTTTTGGACCTCTTTTACCATTTGGGTTAGTCTATTTTTTAAGGTGTTATTTTCTTCAGTATTTTTTTGGGTCTCCTTTAGCATCACTCTCAGTTTTTCTTCTACTTCTCTTACTTGCTTCTCAAAATTCTTTTTGAGCTCTTCCATGGCCTGGGACCAATTTGGATGTAGGAGCTTTGGCTTCGTTTTCTTCTTCTGGTTGTATGTTTTGATCTTCTTTGTCACCAAAGTAAGATAATATAGTCTGACTCGTTTTGCGCTGCTTGCTCATGATCTCAGCCAATTATTTGAGTTATAAACTCTTTGTTAAGGTAGGAGTCTGTTTCCAGTGTGGAGAATGTACTGTCCCAAGCTTCAGGGGTTTTGTGCAGCTGTTTTCAGAGATGCTTCTAGGGACCTGTAAATTTTCAGCTCTTCTAAGGTGCTATGATCAAGGGTGAGGTGTTTACTCCTTTCCTGGCCTGTGCTCTGGTCTATGAGCACTCTTTTCTGTCTTGGAACTGTGGAGGAGGGTTTCCTCTCCACAGCCACTACAAGCTCCACCATGCCAGAGCTCCTCCTCGCCCTAGGACCACCACCCAGAACTGTGACCCAGATCCAACATGGGCAAAGCAAGAGAATCCTGCACCAGCAGAGAGATTCCTGCAATCCCCCTCTGATAAGCCACTTGATTCCCCTCAGTCTGTGGCCTGGAAGCTCAGGAGGCAGTCGCCACCCTCGAGAAATGGGGCTGGGTCCCCGCGCTTCTCTTTCAGCACCTCAGAAACAGACTTTCCCACTGACCTTCTAAGTTGTCTTTGGCGTTCATGGGTTGAGAAGTCCGGAAACCACCACAGCTGCCCACGACTCAGTCCTCTGAGGCCTGCTCCAGGTTCGCCGCAGCCTGCGCACCCATGCTGAACTGTGCTCCTCTCCCCACCCGGCATGATATATCTTTCTGATCAACCATCCAGGCTGTCTTTGGCTGGAAATTTGTTTCACTCTCTTTTGGTGGGTTCTGCTGCTTTAGAATTTGTATAGAGTCATTTTTTATAGGTTTTTGGAGGAGTTTGGGAGAGAGCTCAAGCAAGTCACTGCTTTTACTCTGCCATCTTGGCTCCGCTGCTCCCCTACTCTTAATAACATTATTGTTATTCTGAGTTCCAGGAACAGAGTTTCCTTGGAGCCATCCTCCTCCTGGGAAGCCAAATTTAAAACCTTGACATGCTCTTGGATTCTTCATCCCCCTTTGTCACTGTCTATTTAAGCAGTCATCAAATCCTAGGTGACTTGGAGAATAGAAACAGAAAATAGGAAAAGCAGCTTTCTGGGGAAAGCTGATAAGTTATGATTGGTGGAAGATGATTTGATTGTTGATGTTGAGCATGATGTGCCAATCAGAATGGATGAATGAAAGAAGCACTCAAGTGCACACCATATACTGTTACATTTGGTAATTAAGGTAGACTGAAGAAGAAAGTTTTGAGCACATTTAATTTGTTGGCAAAGCTAGCAATGACCAATAAAGGAGTCTCTTCTCAGTCAGTCAAAATACCATGAAATAGGACTTACTAGCCTTTCTATAATCTTGGGAAGTACAAGAGAACAAAGAATAGGAAGTATAAAACAGTATGATTGGTTACAAAATCTGAAGTGTCATAGATGATGGAAAACAATATCATTGGATGGAAGTCAAGAAGGCAGGACTAGCAACAGCCCCCTTTTCCATCTTGTTGCTATGGAAAGCTCATTGGTGGTGTCCCACCTGCATAGTTATAGTCACAAAGATAACAGTCCAGACTGTCTCAAAGGACAGCCAGCATTGCAGAGGTAACAGACTTCTTGTTGCTCACATGCATCTGCTCACATGCATCTTTCAAAGATTGTTAGTGAGATAACAGATCTCCTTACAGGTACATGGGCAGTAAGTTGTGTAGAGATAATATGGTTCTTTAACTTAAAGTGATTTCTGGAACAATGTAGCTCAGAGAGGAAAGCTGAACTTCTGAACTTAATTCAAAGACAAAGAAACATGGTATAGGCAATCAATTATAGAATGGAATCAATTGGATTTTCTCAATACAAAGCACTGTGCTAAATATTAGAGATTCAAACAGAAAAGCAAGAGACTTCTTGCTCTCAAAGAGCTTACATACTAACAATAACAGATCTAGTTGGTTGGAGGAGACGTACTGCTGAGTTCAAGAAAGAATTAATAGTCTAGTTTGGCTGGAAGATAGACTTCTTGATTGGGATCATAGGATCTTCAATTGTGGGGGACCTTAGAGCTCATCTAGTCCAATTTCCTTATTTTATAGATGAAGAACTAGGCCCACTTAAATGAGGTTAAATGATTTCTCCATGGTTTACAAAATGGCACAACTGGATTTGAAGCCAGATCTTCAGATTCCAAACCTAGCACTCTTTCCAGTATACCATACTTGGGGATAGAGACAGAACCTGATTTTGCTGCTCTAGGGAACTCCTGAATGAAGAAGTTCTCACCACTTATTCAGGTCAATATCTTCTCTGCCACTTAATCTTGCAGTTGCTTAGAGCATTGGATGGTGAATGCATTTGCCCAAGTTCACACAGCCAGTATGTTTCAGAGATAGGACTGTATCCCAAGTCTTCCTGGCTGCAAGGCTGCCTCTCTGTTGACCTCATTGTACTGCTTCTCATTACCATGCTCAGAGTAGTATGAAATGAGGCTTGAAAGGTGGCCTAGAATGTGGAGGGCTTTAGATGCCTTCCTGAGGAGTTTATGTTTTAGCCTAGAAGTAATAGGGGACCAATGAAAAATTTTTTTTAGCTTTTATTTATATTTTTACTTTTCCCCAGTTACATGTAAAAATAATTTTAACATTCATTTTAAAACTTTGAGCTCCAAATTCTCTCCCTTCCTCCCTTCCCACCCCCCCCAATTGAGAAGCAAGCAATTCAACATAGGTTATATACATGTGTAGTCATGCAAAATATATCCATAATAGTCCTGTTGTGAAAGCTCCCATTTCTATCACCTTACTCCTATCACCACCCCCTCCGCCCATTCTCTTATCCCTTTCCCCTCCTGCTTTCCTGTGAGGTAAGATAAATTTCTCTACCCAATTGAGCCTGTATGTTATTCCCTCTTTGAGCCAATTCTGATGGGAGTAAGTTTCACTCA